TATAGACATAGAGACGCGCGTCGATGGGCTCGTCCGCTCGATTTTTTAATTGTAACAAGCACATGGTCGTCGTCGTCGTCGTCGCGAGTCACTGCACTGTTCTCGAATCGTCGCGACGCGTAACCCAATGCAAAAATAATAAATCAACCAGACGATCGTCGCGAGACAGCTCATCTCGGCGCGCAGCTCCAGCAGCAGCAGCAGCAGCGGGTAAATTACGCATACGCGTAAGAAACGATCGCGACGATCGGCAATTTATATGTGCGTGTCGTAGTCGTTGATCGAGCACGTCCCGCTCGCGACGATCCCCACGCGATTACGTCTCATTAACTCGTGCGCGCGTGTGTTTGTGATTTGCGACAGCAGCAGCTCGCTAATCAGCTGTGAGTCGCTCGCGCAGCTATATATTACGTTATATATACTCGCGTCTTATCACAGTGGCGCGTGCGCCTCAGGAATCTAAATATTATAAATGTAATGCCATTCGTACATATATGTTATATTTTATAATTGTAAAACTGTCTCGCGGGTTCATTTCATACAATAATGCGATTTATAAGAATACCGATGCACGACGCGCCTGCGATATGTATAATGTGTACTCCGGTGTATCTCGTTGCTCGAGTGTTTGCATGCCGATCGCGCGCAGTGCGAGTTCAACTTACTGCTGTATCATCGTCATGTTTATATCATTGTATATCTGTGGCGGAAAGGGCTAACGAGATAACTCCCTTTTTTTCGAAATCGAGTTTATGACGTGAATTACCAATATGTTATGTCTACTTTAAGGTACTAGTGTCACAAAAGCTGAACAGAGCACCTATCGTTCAATATAACACCGTGCCTAACGAGATTAGTCCTTTTTCGCTGCAAACGATTCCCGGCCGAGAGAAGTCCACCTGTGCGAGCTCCAAAATGCGATTAAGAGTCTAGATTGATTTGAAAATGGAAGAGAATGATATTCCAACATACAAATGGCTCTCACACTCTTCGAATTTTGTGAATTTCACTATACGGTTGGTACATTTGATACGCGAGGGGCCAAACGAGAGAAGTCCACCTGTGCGAGCTCCAAAATGCGATTAAGAGTCTAGATTGATTTGAAAATGATATTCCAACATACAAATGGCTCTCACTCTCACACTTGGTACATTTGACACGCGAGGGGCCATTTTCGCGATTTTCAGTGTGGCCTTTTTTCGTTGCAAGATTTGAGATATGACACCAGTATAACGTTCTAATGAGCTATTTTATCAATGTAAAATCATTACATGAGGTTTTGATCACAAACTAAGCGAAATTATCGATATTGAAAAAAGTGTGACCGCTAAAAGTGGACTTATCTGCTAAGCGGGGAAAGGCCTAACGAGATAAGTCCATATTTTTTGCTCCGTATCATCATTATGATGCGTCTTTCAATTTCACAAGTACATAGTTCAAAAGATACCTCATAATAGGTAAAAATATCATAGGTACAGATCTTTAGTCGTCCACGTCTAGCTAGGCCTTCGTGCGCAACTTAAAACGCGTTTTTCTCGAAAACACGAAAAATGGAGTTATCTCGTTAGGCCTTTCCACCACAGATATATAGCTATATGTATTTCAGCAAATGCGTATTTATTCTCTTCTCTACCACTTTTTTTAAGAAGTCCTAAAATCCATAAAAAAAAGCGTTAGATTTGGGCTTCTTGAATTAAGAGATAGATCGTCCCAAAAATTCTGAAATAATTCAAGCAGATTCTTTGAGAAATTTTAAAACTTTTGATCGTTGCATTTCTTCGTTTAAGTACTTCTATATCAATATAGAAATAACAAAGATTTTTTTATAATGTGAAATATCATCTAAAAAATGGGCCCTGAGGCCCATTGGATCAAACTAAGCATAGGGAGCTTCAGTATTGGGTACCAGGAGACCGCAAAAAAATTTTGGAGCAAATCCATGACCCGGACCTGAAAAGCTCTCCTTGTTAGTTGTAGTTCTTTGCGAAAATCTCTGGCAGGTTAGAATTTTAAACTGATTCAAATATTGTAAGGATAATGTTTATAAACAGATAAATCAGTACCTTAATTGTAAACAATATAATTATCAACGATTTCGAAATCGTCCCTACAACACTGATCATGGTTATAGTAATAACAAATCAGTTTAAATTTTGTATTCCCCGATGAAACAATCCATAATATTGAAAAATCAATTTTACTCATTTAATATCCGCGGCATTAAATAGAAAGATAGGTCATTCAATCAAGGCATCAAAATGGATAAAAATGAAAAGAAATTCGAGGAAGTTTTTTCTCAAGATAATTCAAGTGAACTCGACGTTGTTGTTTCAGACGACAAAAAATTTGTTTGTGATATTTGTCAGGAGGCATTTACACTAGAATCAAGCTTGATAACCCACCGAGATACAATTCACAATGAACAAAAAAATTACTCGTGCAACAAGTGCGAAAAGAAATTTAAGTTTCGAAGTCATTTGAGTAGGCATCAAATATCAGCGCATGAAGGCCGTGAAGATTTTCCATGTGACAGATGTGAGAAGAAATTTGTGAAAAAATCAAGTTTAATGTCGCACCAAAAATTAGTCCACAAAGATCGTGAGGATTTTAAATGCAACAAGTGCGAGAAGAAATTTGAAAATAAATCGACTTTACTCAAGCACAAAAAAATATTTCACGAAGTTTTCAAAGATTACTTATGTGAAAAGTGCGCCAAGAGATTCGCTAATAAACAGACTTTGCTCTTGCACATAAAAAGAGTACACAACGGTCATAAATATAACGAATGCGACAAATGCGAAAAGAAATTTGTAAAAAAATCCCATTTGCTCTTTCATCTGAAGACTGTACATGAACGTCGAAAAGATGTCACCTTAAAATTCTCCAAAAATTACTTATGTAACCATTGCGGCAAAGAATTTGCAAATAAACATAGTTTGCTCATTCACGCCAAAACAGTTCATAAGGGTTTCGGATGTGAAAAGTGTGAAGAGAAATTCAGAAAAGCATCGGATTTACTCTCACATCGAAAGACAGTACACAAAATCTTTAAAATTTATTCATGTAATTATTGCGATAAGAAATTCAAAAGTAAACAGGGTTTGTACTTACACACAACAATAATCCATGAGGGTCGAAAAGATTATCCATGTGAACAATGCGAAAAAAAATTCGGACAAAAATCTAATTTGTTTTACCACGTACGGACAATACACCAAGGTCGGCAAGATTTTGCATGTGACAAATGCGAAAAGAAATTTGGACAAAAATCTAATTTGCTCTCCCACATAAAGACAGTACACGAAGGTTTCAAGGATTACGCATGTGACACGTGCGAGATGAAATTTGGTCATAAATTTTCTTTGATCAGGCACCAAAACGCAGTACACGAAGGTCGGAAAGATTTCGCATGTGAGAGGTGTGAAAAAAAATTTGGACGAAAACATCATTTAGTTGTCCATCAAAAGACATTTCATGAAAATCTCAAAAATTACCCGTGCCACAATTGCGAGAAGATATATGGACGAAAATCGGACTTGATCAGGCACAAGAAGACAGTGCACGAAGATCGCAGAGATTTTGTATGTGATAAATGCGAGAAGAAATTTGGAGAAAAATCGAAATTATTTAAGCACAAAAAAATAATCCATGAGGGTCGCAAAAATCATGCATGCGACAAATGCGAAAAGAAATTCGGAGATAAATCGCATTTGCTCTTGCACCAAATGGTGGTACACCAATGCTCCAAAAATTTTGCATGTGACAATTGTGAGAAGAAATTCTCGCTAAAAAAGGGTTTGCTCTCTCACCAAAAGACAGTCCATGAGGGTCGCAGAGATTACGCATGTGACCATTGCGAGCATAAATATTCACAAAAATGGAGTTTACGTGTGCACCAAAAAACGATACACGAATGTCGTAAAGATTTCACTTGCGACAAGTGTGAACAGAAATTTACGCAAAAGAAGAATTTGCTCCGCCATCAAAAGACAGTTCACGAAGGTCGGAAAGATTTCGCCTGCGACAAGTGCGAAAAGAAATTTGGACACAAACCGCATTTGCTTACCCACCGAAAAACAGTTCACGAAGGTCGCAGAGATTTTTCATGTGATAAGTGCGAGAAAAAATTTGGACATAAATCGAATTTGTTAAAGCATCAAATGACTATCCACGAAGATCATTAAAATTTTGCGCATGAAAAATACGAGGAAAAATTCAGTGATCAAAGACATTTAATTAAATACCAATAAGCTGTTCAAGAAGGTCGCAAAAATTGCAAGCGCGAATCACGTCGACGAGAATCATGTCGTCTGTAAATTTTAATGGACAGTGAAAAGCAGTTCATAAAACTCACAGACGCCAGTAATCGAAAAATTATCAAAGTTCGTTTAGATTAAGTACGTGACAACTACGAAAAGATTTTTGCAAACGAACGCAGTATGTTTTTTCGCATTTTATTTGTTCAGAAGGGTTGATTTGTTCAACGTTTTTGCATGTGAAAGAGTGAGAATTTGTACAAAATAAGAATCAATTTTACCGTTAATAAATAAATATTTATTTACGAAAATTTTGAAGATTTTCAGTTACAATAAGATTCAATATATTGATTTTTGAAATATTTTAAATCAAGTTTGTTGACTCAATTTTACAAGGTTTTTTCAGTATTCTTTCTTTTTTCGAGGGAACCTAAATTATTTCCAACCTACTTTCAACTTTTTTTTTTTTTTTTTTTTTATTAAAAAGAGAACGGCCAAAAAAGTGAAGCCGTGTAAAACGACCTCTGATTGGTTGACACTGACGATGACGCCCGACGCGATCCGACTCTATACGAGCGCCTGCGCTGCTATCAACAGACGCGCATTTGAAACTTACTATTTGTGAATCGTCAACTAACCTCAAAACACAAATAAAAAAATTGACACGCGTGGAGCGCGATTTAAACGTCTAGTGTTGTAATAACAATGTAGCTGAAGCTACCAGCAGAACGATCCGTAGGTAATTCAGGTTCCCTGCAATGAAACGCAGTGCATGACGAATTCCTCAAGATCTATACAGACCATTCTAAATGGCTTAGAAGGGTTCTCTAACGAGTAACTAAGATGAGCAGTGACCCACAGAAATGATCGCAACCCTGTCATAAAATTTAAGAGGGGTAAAAAAAAATACGTATTTTCGACTGATAAAAATTTATAAATCATTCTCAGCAAAATATCGACTTTTTATTACTCAAAGTGATTCAAAGACAACTGAAAGTAGATAAAACCCAGATCGACCCCAAAAAACAATTACAGCCCTATCTAAAAATATTAGGGGAGGTCAAATCACAACTTTCCTAGATTTAAATTTTTTTCAAAGTGTTCTCGGGGATAATTCCTCTTTTTTTTATTGGGAAATGTTCCTTATGCTGTAAGAAGTAACTGAGTCAAGCGGCAACGCGCGGAAACAATTACAACCCCTTAAAAAAAATTAGATAGGGTAGCGAAATGACGACTTTCCTAGATTTCAAGTTTTTTCAAAGTGATCTCGGGGAAAATTCCTCGTTTTTATTATTGGGAAATGTTTCTTACCCTATTAGAAGTAACTGAGTCGAGTGGCAACGCGCGGAAACAATTACAACCCTATCTAAAAATATTAGGCGTGGTGAAATGGCGATTTTCATAGATTTCATGTTTTTTCTAAGTGATCTCAGGGAAAATTCCTCGTTTTTATTATTGGGAAACGTTTCTTACTCTATAAGAAGTAACTGAGTCGAGTGGCAACGCGCGGAAACAATTACAACCCCTTAAAAAAAATTAAATAGGGTGGTGAAATCACAACTTTCTTAGATTTAAATTTTTTTCAAAGTGTTCTCGGGGATAATTCCTCTTTTTTTTTTTATTGGGAAATGTTCCTTATACTGTAAGAAGTGACTAAGTCGAGCGGCAACGCGCGGAAACAATTACATCCCTATCTAAAAATATTAGGGGTGGCGAAATAACGAATTTCGAAGATTTTAAGTTTTTTCAAAGTGATTTCGGGAATAAATCTCCTTTTTTTATCGCAGGGAAAATTTTTTTACACTGCAGTAAGTAAATGAGTCGAGCGGCAACGCGCGGCAGTTATTTCATATTTTTCTAAGAATATTCAAGGTATGGCGAAATATGGAATTTCTCAAATTTTAAGTTTTTTAGACTGATCTCGGGAGTATTTTCCTTTTTTTTTGCTTGGAAATTTTTCTAGGCTTGTAAGGAGTAAATGAAAATGAAAATTCATCAATTTTTTTGAAATATTGTTTAAATGGAATATGTACTTTTAATGAATCATACAGTTTTATTCGTTTTTAATTTCAAAACTTAATTAATTTTGGTTTTTTCCTACAAAAATATCATGTTATCTAACATATTTTTAAACTTACAATATTCATAAAGGTATTTATTTGCACAATGTTATTTTTATTTTGTTTCACAAGCAATATTTTGGAAAAAATTCTATTTCTCATTGTGATTATTTTTAGATTTTTACAGACGATATCACTTTATTACAATAGAAAACATTCCGTGCTTTTTAATTTATTAACTTAATTTAAGTTGTCTACAAAGAAATACTTTTTATAGTGTTTTTTGGTTCCTTTAGAATTCATCATTTTACTGTTTTCCTTCGCCCATACATTTCATTAGTACATGTGAATCACAACATTTATATTTTGTACTTTTATTAGTCTTTCATAAATCTTATCGCTCATATTCATTAAGTCTGTAGCACCTTTTGATTACTTAGATCCTAGACAATATACTTTATTTATTTAATCACAATGAAATAAACTTCTCAGACTTAAGGAGTTAAAATTTTACTATTGACACATTGTTTATTACACAGATTTTTGTGCAAATAACGCACATGTGTTGATATAATGCATTTCTTTGTATGTATAAAAACCAATAAATCTTGACTTGTTTTATTTTTGTATCATTCTAATTATTTAACTTATATGGACAAATTTATTTTTCTTCAATAAAAATCAGTTGGTATTTTTTCAGTTAACAAAAGCGCTACAGCAATTTATTTGCTGAAAATGAGGACACTATTATCAAAAATAATGGAATATTACAGAAATTATACTATGGTCTATTGTCGATAAACTCAACTATCGCTATTTTTTTAATAATATTTGTCAGTATTTTTTTAGTCTAAATTGGTAGGCTTAGTACCTAATTATGAAGTTAATAAATTATTTTGCTTAATCATCATTTTATATTATATTTTCGAAGACTACGGATATGGAGAAAGCGATCTTTTAATAACATGTATAAATTATACAATTTATTTTTAAGGGTTTCTGAATCGAAGGTAATAATAATAATTTTCATTTATTTACGCTGCTTTGTATAGTCTATCTATGGAATAGCGTCCTGTTTTTTGGCGTATTCATAAAACCTTATATCAAAAAATAAAAAAATCGGAATAAAGCTTCTAAAGTGTGGAAACGCATGGATTTTGAACAATAATTTATGTTACTGAAAATGAAGTTTTAGGTGTTACTTGATCGCCCAGCTCAGTAAGTCAGACAAAGTTACATTTTTTTTTCTACGATAATAGTTAATAGGAACAATCATGAAACTTTATTATTAATTAATGAACTATTTCTACAACAACGGTTCTTATTACAACAAATGATATTTTGTCTTGATTGAGTCGTGATTACTAAAAGAAAAACTTGTTATCTTAATCGATAATTAAAGCCTCTTAATAAAAATAACATCTTTAACATAATTCTTGATAGTTCTCAAGGAAAGAATTTCATGATACTAATTTTTTCCAATATCGAGGTTATTACACATTTTATTTATTAATTTTTTTCTTACTTTTTTATTATCGCTATTTGTACATTTTTGTCTACTTATTAAATACGTCAAGGATATATTTTTGGCATTCGAAATAGTCTATCATCAAAAATTGAAATTTTTTGATTTACAATCTGTGATTATATGGTCGAAAATCTAATAAAGGGAGAGATGCGCACAATTCAAGCGTCGAATTAAATTTAAATGGAATTTCAGTCGATATTTCGAAGTTATAAGTAACATGTTCTTCGTTTTCTTTTTTATTATCTTCGTCGATTTCACTTACATTTACCTTATTTTTTCTAGATTTCCTGTCTGTTTTGGCTTTATATAGAAAACTTGCAATAGCTTTACGAATATTATTCATATCTGTTTCCCCAAACGCTGTAATTGAAGAGCTTGCTATCGTGAGAGCCCATGCACAAACGTACACTCCACAATTGTCATCAACTTGTTTAGGAATATCTATTGCACTGTAATATGTCCATACTTTTTCAGAATTTTTTTTCTGCTGTCTTTTAGGAGTACAATAGTTCATAAACCAATGAACATGTCTCAACAGAGTTTCGGAGGGACTGTAGTGAAGTGAGTCTAAATACATCATGATATTTTGATCTAAACTGACCACTAATAAAGCCCAGTGATTCCCTGTACTGACAGGGATCAACCAAAGATTTTTATGCGTAATTTTTTGCTTTTGTCCCCATTTTTTGAATCCATTACTTATAGAATTATGTTGAAGAATATCATAGCAAAATAATGTATCAAATACACATAAATTTACTTTTGACTTTAACGCTATCTCAGGTGGCAAACTCATAAAGGCGTTAATAATGGCATCGTTTAGCCATTGATCGGTACAAGTGTATGGCGCAAGCCTGGCGAAACTCTCAGAGTTAACTTCAATGCCATTGATATTATTACAAATGTTCGGAAAATTTGCAGGATACGTATTATAAATTGAAATCAGATTTTCCATAGTCAATTCCATGTTTTCATATTTACTATTCATATCAACTATTTCTAATTTCAATTTTTTTTCAGTTGTCGGGACACTTTCTTCATCTAAATCATTGTAGTTCGATTTAAATTCCAATTGATTTGAATCATCTACTGATAAACACATACTTTTCTTACTTCTTTTATTATTGCTCTCTAATTTTATTTGTTCACGCACATTTTTTTTAAATTCTTTATAAGTTTTCATTATTTGGTTTTGCATAGTATTAATCATAACATCGTCACTTAGATTGGTTGCATTATTCACTGCAAGTTCTTCTTCCATTGCCTGATTTTCATCACTATTCATTTTTGTATTAACCAAAGGTATCGCACTGTCCTCTGTATTCAAATTTTTTTCCGGTACATTTTTGTTTTGTGTAAATACCGATTTCCCGTACTTCCACTTACTCCTTTTCTTTTCCAAAATTCAACTGACTCCTTTAACTGTTTTTTTAATTTATTTTTCTTTTGTCTTGTCGTTGTTAAAGGAAATTCACGCTCTTTTATTTTGCCACGAATTATTGGTTCGTTGTGCTGGATGAAACGAGGAATAGTAACTCTTTTTTGATTTTTGAACACATTATTTTTGAGAATATTGAATCCGTTTTCAGCAGATGCGTTGCTATCGCGCAAAATTCCAAATTGAACTATACTACCAGCTGACCAAAGCGAAAAGTAAACAGTTAAGTATTCAGTAACATATTTAATCAAATCTTCTGAATAATATTCGTTCACTGTTTCATCGCACTCACCATGACGTATAATTTTTTTTTCAGCTGCAAAAATGATTTGTAGTAAAGTCAAAGAAGATAGACACGTATAGAAGCCCAGAGCTTAACTAAAAATTGAGGCTGGCTCATATGATACCAAAACCAACTTCAAGGGGGCGCGGCGAGCAACCTAAGCCTGTAATGTATAACCAACATTTAGTCCTTTAGTTACCAAAGTCTTCGTGGTCGAGTGGTCAAGCGCTCGGCTTCGTTTTTTGCTTCGAGCGGTCGGGCCTTGGTTCAATCCCAGGCCGCAGATATTTTTTTTTACATTTTTTTCTCAAATTACAAAGAATAAAGTAAGGATTTCGCTTCTAGCTAATATTGCTTATAAAATTAAAAATACTCTGATAAATTTATTTATTAAGGATTTTTTTTAAATGTGAAAAATAATAATCAAGCGATACGGTCCATTTAAAATTGGAGTCAGAGATATTTTCATAAAAAAGGAACTTCATTTAACGAAATTAACACGACATTTTTTTTCGAGGCGTCTAAATATACATTCATTTAATTTAATTTGCGTTTGAATTAAATGTGATTTTTTATTTTTTTGTAGAAAAAAGAACATGAAAAAAAAGTTTGATTATCAATGCAATTTAATTTTATGACCAATATCAGCTAAAAACGAAATCCTTACTTTATTCTTTGTAATTTGAGAAAAAAATGTAAAAAAAATATCTGCGGCCTGGGATTGAACCAAGGCCCGACCGCTCGACGCAAAAAACGAAGCCGAGCGCTTGACCACTCGACCACGAAGACTTTGGTAACTACGGGACTAAATGTTGGTTATACATTACAGGCTTAGATTGCTCGCCGCGCCCCCTTGAAGTTGGTTTTGGTACCATACGAGCCAGCCTCAATCACGCCTATAGTTCTGTGCTTCTATACGTGTCTATCTTCTTTGGTAAAGTGAATCTTTGGTTTTTTTCTTCGGCTCTTCTTTTTCCGACGTTATACTTCGTGAATCTTCATCTTCATTTTTATTAGCCTCACTGCTGACCGATGCAATATCAATTTCATTTGAATCCTTATTTTCTAAAATATCATTAATAATTGTTTCATGACTTTTATCTTGCATGGAAAGGCCGAATAATTTTACAAATTGTATGAAATGTGGACAAGCTTCTTCCATATTTCTGCTGTGAATTAGTTTAGCTATTAGTAATGTAGCCACTCTTCTTTGCAAACATTGTTGTTTTTTATTGGGGAAAAATTTCTTTATCTTCAATCGCACGGTTTTAATAAGATGCGAAGAACAGATGTGCAATATTGTTAAATTTTTTGGCAAGGCTTGCCCGGTTTCCACGAACCGAAATATTAAATTGATGTATTCGTATAAATTCATATCGTTGAATGCAGTACACGAGGCTTTTAATAGCACTAAACTAAAATCCGTTTCTACTTTTTGAATCGTTCTCGAGCTTATGAGGCGAAAACCGGTGTACCAGAACATTAAAAAGAAGCATACACTACAATAGTTATGCACTGATTGGATGCTTTCTCCAACTTCCAGTGGACTTATTCCATCTGAGCCCGGTATATTTATTTTGTAATAATACAAGGTTTGTCCTTCTTGTAAATGAACGGGTTGCTTCACTATTGTGCCAGTCGCATCCAAATGTAAGAAAATATGTTTTTCTTCTGACACAATGTGAAGCTGAGGTTGGCTAAACATAATAACGTGCACTGGATCTGATGCTCTATACTGTATGTAACCTGCAATTCTCTCTTCAGGTGCATTATACTCCTTGTACTGTGTTCTGTACTGTTTTTGCAATTTTTCCATAAAATGGTAGTAATCATGATCCAAATCATTTTGAGCACGTAGTTCGCTGCATATTTTTTGCAAAATTTCTGAGCTAGGACAATTATTAAATTACCTTCTCTAAGGTATTCTTTGTTGCCGGCTTCATTTAATGTCTCCCATTTAACGACGGCAGGGGTTTTTGCCTTTAACTCATTTTTACATTTTACTCGATTCTCACCTCTAATGAATCTCCTATGAGATTCCCCATCGGCATGATCAATAGCACTGTAAGTTTTGACAGTAACTCTATAATTTTCGTAGGGTGGCGTTATAGGTTCTGCAACTTCAAAAATAAAGGGAGTGCAGCTTGTATGTTTGCATACAGCATTGGCCTTAAAATAAGAATCTTTATTTCTTTTTTTTTGTGCGTAGAATTTGTTGGCCTCAAAAGCCAATACACATTTGTACGTCTTTTGAAACACTTCATTAAATGCATCAGTCCATCCTTTATTCAGAGACTTCTTACTGGTACAGGGGACATATTTATTCCAAAAATCTGGTCCAATAAATATAGGGAGTTGTTCGATCCATTTCTTCTCGACATCTACATGCATATTATTAAAATAATAATATTACAAAATATCGTTACATGGACGATGGACCATTTTTTTTAATAGGCTCAGACATTATTAAAATTATGAATACTATGCAGTATACTAAAACTGAATATGTTGCATAGATAAGAAAACATACATTGTTTTTTAAATCTAACCATACACATGCGATAAGGTTAACTTAATTAATAGTACCCAAGTTCTGAATTCCCAATTACATAGCATTATAATATTTTTCCACATTCTTTTGTATTAAGGTAAAAAAGGGTAATTTTCTAAATATTTTGAGAAGCTAAAGATCAATATTGAAGAAGAATTCACCTTGAAATCGTGTGGTCAATCGATTTAACCATAATATTTATAATTATGAAAGGAGTATAATGATTGCGATTTCAGAGCTTAGGTATGAGTTTTTTTGGTCAGTCAGATGTAGTACGAACATATTTTACCATTAAAAAAAATATTACAATTATTTCGGTTTAAATGGTCATTTTTAAATATCAGCTCGAAATACCTTAAACATTCTCTTTTACGAATAGTCTTAATTTAAGGGAAAAAAACTGTAAAGAATAAAAGACTCTCTCGATTGGTCAAATAATGATTTTTTAAAATGGAGACGGTGATTATCATTTTTTTGAAACTTTCTGAAATTTTTACGAAATAGTAAAATTCGCTTTTTTTTTTTAATAGTTGTAGGCTATTTTGTTACAGGCATATTTTTCTTAACGTCATTATTTTTGTAAACAAGAACCGCAAAAATCTCGATCAAAGCAGTATATTATTTTTAAAAGTTTAAAAGAGTCATCGAATCAGTACAAAATAGGGGTAATTTGTTTCTTGCATAAGATTTTTAAAAAAATTTTCAACTCTACATTTTTTCACATTTTATGTGGTATCTCGGGAGCTACAAGGAGTACTTAAAGTTTGAGAATTTATTCGATTGCTATTTCCTGGTTTTCGGCTGATGAAAATTGATATAAACGAAAATTTTATAATTATTTCAATTATTTTTAATAAATATAATTTCATATTCTTACCTATATTTTTATTCCCGGTTGTCACATCGTCTGAATTTGTTTTTGATGTACTAACATTTGTTAAACTGACTTTATGTTCATCTCGATGTGCAGTATTACTTGATATTTTTGATGGAATTTTCTCGACATCATTATTATCATGAATATTTTCTGAAAGAAAAATTAATTGCGAATGATAAGTTGTTTTCCGAAGTTACTACGAATAAACAATTACCATATTCTTTGAATCTTTATGCTTACCATTGGCATCATCACCGGTATTGACATTGAGGCAGCTTCCATCATTCTCATCGTCATGAGGCCAATATTGTGGTGAAGGGTACATATATTCTGAAAGTGTTTTAATTTATTATAAATGATAAGATATTATTATCGAAGTCATTGCAAATAAACAAAATTACCATGTTCAATTGTATCTTCATACTTATCATTTCTATGATCGCTGTTGCGATCATAGCCACATTTTTCATTACCTTCGTCTGCATTGGAATATGGATTCTCCGGCGATGAGACAATTTGTTCTGAAAGTACAGAAATTAATGACTGAAGGAAGGAAATTTTATTGTAGCCACGAAAAATCTTTTATTACCAGGTTGAATTTTTTGAAAGTAATTAAAATGTCCTGCGAGTATACTGCCGGTAAAGGACAATAAAACATCGTCTGAGGAATTTTCCACTTCAATTCTAGTAACGTCTATGGATCCATCATTGTTGATTCTATATATAAAAACGGACTTGCCAAAAATTTTTCCAAACATGACTATTTCCAAATTTTGGCCATATACGCCATCTTTGCCCATGTATTGAAAATAATCGTCCGGAGATGTTACATTTTGGTCAATTTCCATGTTGCTGAAATAAACCCACTATTGCATATTTTCGTCCCAATTATAGAGAACGAAATTGACGATTACTTTCCTCATTTCGGCATGTCTGCCTGCAAATCCCCACTCATTTTCCGCTAAGCATCGGAAGAGGCAATTTCCATCACCTGTCATCGTCTTTTCGCGGTAGAAATGATTCTTGTATACAATTAATCTATACTCTTGATACAATTATTGGCGAATTTCTATTCGCTCAACAGCTGCAATGACTTTCTGCCGAAATTTATCATCGATTGATTTTTTGAAAGTTCC